TAATGATGAACGTAACCTGAGCAGTCAGAATCATCAATGCTTAAACTCCAGCCTAGGAAAGAATTCCCGGGGGGGGGGGGGGGGGGGCAGGAACCCTGCCCAGTTCTGGAATCTCTCCTTTCTCCTCCTTCTTACTTCCTTACTCCTTTCCCACTCAGGGCGCAACATAGCACCTACAACATTGAGTAGATGATCAATAAAATGTTTGATGAATTAATGAAATAAATACATAATGATGAAGTAACCTGGAGCAGTTCAGAATCTCCAATGTTTAAACTCCCAGCCTAGGAAAGAAATTCCCCACACCCCACAGGATTATTGTACTATTTTCTTCCTGCTGGGAAGTTCCTCTTGCAGTCTAACCCAAATCTATCATACTTTGACTCAATCCCATTTAGTTTCTCCAAACCCTCCTCCCACTGCACTCACTTCTTCTTGTAACCCTCCAGCACCTCCTGCACGTGGTTGAGCTCTGAGGCCAGCCTCCCGCTGTCGGCCTCCACGCACTCGGCCTCCCGCCGCAGAGTTGTAATGTAGCCCTCAAACAGGGGCTCCAGGTTGCTCTCACAGCACTCACGGTTCTGGAAGAACTGCAGCTTTGTCTCCAGCAGTTTGTTCTGCTGCTCAAGGAAGCGCACCTGGTGTGGAAGTGGGGGAAAAGTCAGTGGGAGGAGTCAATATCCCCAGCCCTCCTTGGGGAACAGCCAGAGGCAAGACAGAACTGGCAGTGAGATGTGCAGAGGCAAGGGGTAGACCACATGGCCCCTGCTGGCCTCTTCTGTCCTGAGGATGCAGCGGGAGAATCCTTGTTTCATAATTGCTTATTCGGGCCTAAGTGAGGGTCTGTCCAGGTGGGCCTGGATGGGATGAGTGAGAAACTGAGAGGCCTGTGGGCTGTGCTGGGTTACTGTCAGGCTAAGGGGAGACAGATGGGGGTAGGGGGTAGTGACAATTAGGGAAGACTTCCTGGAGGAAAGGAATGCAGAGCAGTGTTGGGAGGGATAGAGTAGGGAGAATGCCTTTCACTATAAGCTCCCTCAGGGCAGGGCCTATGGCTTATTTATTGATGTCCTTATAGCCAGCCCTTGGCTTGGTGAACGTTTGATTGAACAGGTGGTCAAGGTGGGAAGGGCTTCCTACCTGGGGAGGTCAAAGAGGCTAGGCTTCTACCAAGCAGGATGCCTGGGGCCTGAAGAGGCATGCAGGAGTGCAGGGCGTGGTCCTAGGTGGCCTAAACTCTTATGTTGGACACTGTGTCATATGTCTCTGGGGGCCAGACAGGTAATGTGAATGGGGGGAGGTTTTGGAAAACAGGGAGGGTGGGGACCCTAGGGAAGTGAGGCTTGTACACTTTTCCTGGATTTCACTGAAACGGGAGGAACACATGGCAACAATACATTGTGCTGGCCAGAAAGGATGTCAGCAAACAAACTAGGGACCTTGGCTGCCAGTTTTCCACTTCTCATACATTTGAGCTGGAGCTGAGATGTCTCCCTGCCTTTAAGCCCTGGGGTCCTTTTCATCCAGCTCCATGAGTGCAGCTGGGAATTCCCAGGTTGGAACTTGCAGACATGGGGAGCAGGGACTGCTGATATTACATGGGATAATTTTAGGTGGTCTTGGCTATGGGGTCTCATGGCTGCCTTGGGCCCTATCTTCCCTTTCAGAGTCATGAGCAGCTCACACGCTGCACCACACACAGCCCTGGTGAGGAAGCCACTGGGGTGGAGAAGGGAAGCCTCTGCCCAGTGCCACACAGTGCGTCAGTAGAGGAACTGAGCACGGAGGCCAGGTCGCCTGCTCCTGGGCCAGTGTTCATTCCATGAACCACTTCTTGGTCACCTCTCCAGGGTGCACTGCCTGTTGAGGTGAACCAGCCCCTTCTAGAGGGAGTGGGGCAGCTGGGGTCCCAAGCTGTGGGCCTTCTAGCCCAGGGTCTGGAGAGTTGGAGAGGGCCTGGGCTTAGAACCCTGCTTGGGCACCCACTCTCTGTGGGCCCTTGGACCAGCCCTTCAACCTCTCTCTGCCTCCTTTTTCTTCTATGTACACTCAAGGCTGACTTCAGGATTTTGCCATCCCATATACTATTTTACTCCTAATTTGCCTATAGGTTGATTCAATTAACATTTACACGTATCAGGTTAAAAGAGTAACTTCATATTACCACTAGAGATGTAAAACCGTCATCACTAGGCATACATAAAGGGAAATTACAGAACATTAAATTCTAGCAGAAACAGTTGTCCTAGACAGTTCTGAAGCCAGGGCTTGCTCTCTTTATTAGAAGCAGGAGGGAAGCAAGTATTAGAGAGATGCTAAAGACATTAGCATCCAATGAGATTTTTTTCCCACCTAATCTTAAGGATTGAAACAGACATTAAAGAAGATATATTTTCTTACCAGATGTTTCAGTGTTATTTAATACGATGGGCCGGCACCGCCTAAAATTATATAAAATATCAGCCGTCCTCATTCCCCATTTCTAGAGAGACCACTCTGGGAATTTCCATCTCCTCCCAGGACGGCCAGGTTCAGGAAGGGTATGATCCAGGACACCCACCTTGTCGATGAAGGCCGCAAACCTGCTGTTGAGGCACTTGATCTGCTCCTTCTCCTCCTGCTTCACGCACTGCGCGTTGGGGTCGATCTCCAGGTTGAGGGGCGTGAGGAGGCTCTCGTTGACCGACACGGTGGTGATGCATGGGGGGCTGGGCCCGCACACGCCCCCAGAGCGGTAGCCGAAGCTGCGTCCGCAGGAGCCAGCGCGGAAGCCGCCGCACACGCTGCGGCTGCCGAAGCCCCCGGAGAGGCCGCGGTAGCAGGAGACGCCGCGGTAGGGGGCGGCGGTGATGCAGCAGCGGCCGGGCCGGGGCCCGCAGGCCGAGATGCAGCTGAAGGCGCGGACCCCGCAGGGGGTGCTCAGGCGGGAGGAGAGGCAGGACATGGTGCGGCGGCAGCAGGAGCGGGCGGCTGGACCCCAAGCCCGCGCTGCGCCTTATATGGCGGCCCGCGGGCCCGGGGAGGGAGCTCGCGGCCAAGGCGTTTACGAGCTTGGAGGGCTCGGCCCTTGCGCCTCGCGGAGCCGGGAATCAAAGCGGGCCGGGCCGCCCGGCCGCCTCCATAAAACGGCGTTCACCTCCCGCCCGAGCTTTATGGGGCCAGGAAGCGCCTGGTCAGCTCCGCTGCCCATGCGCTGCGGGCAGTGCGAGTGGAACCCCTCTGCCTGTCCACCCCTCCACCGGGACTCGGAGCGTTGCCTTCTTGGATCCGGCCCCAGCTTCGGTCCCAGTCCCATAGCCCTGGTCCCCTGCCAGCGGGGTTATCTGGCATCTCTGCACGGTGTGCGGGGGGGCGAGTGTATGAGTGTGTCAAGAGGGTGGGGCCTCTGAAGTCAGTCCCGCAGGTTCATGTCATGACCTTGGGCAGCTGAATAACCTTTCTAAGCTTCAATTTCTCACAGGCAAAATAGTGATAATAATAGTAAGCACTGACAGTTGTTGCCAGGATCTAATGAGATAATGACCAGAAAGCATTTAGGGCCCTGCCTATCACTTAATAAGAACTCTGTAAATGTTAGTTTATTTATTCATTATTTGTTCTATGTATTCTATTGTTAATTTATCATTTCATCCTGTGTCCCTTTGGGCAAAACCTTTCTCTTCTCTTCTATCGCAGAACTCAGCTCATACCTCCTCTTCCTGTAAGCGTCCCTCCTTCCTGTACCCCTCTCTACTCTGCTTGGGTGAGGGGAAGGGAGTTGTATTCATGGAGTGCCCGCAATGTGCCTAGTACTGTGCTGAGGCCTTTTTATGCTATATTATTTCCTCTAGCTCCCAGGGCGTCCTTCTGAGGTTGGTATTATTGTGCCCATTTACCTGATTGGGAAGGTGTGAGCTCAGGGTGGTCCAGTGACTTGTTTAAGGTCATACATAGAAGGATCCATAGAGGGGCAGAGTCAGAATCTGAAAGGCGACCCCTCCTCCAAGCCCTCCTCCACCCTGGTCTTACCCAGGGTCTGAATCTTTGGGGGCTGAGTGAGGTTGGAGTTTTTGTTGGTGGCAGGAGCACAGACTGCTAGGCTTTGGGCCCTTGGGGAAATCTTTCTGATCCAAGGCCTTCCCCTCAACTGAGGCTTGGTCATGGCCACCAACTCTAGAAGGCCATAATCCATTATAAAGGAGGTTAATTATGTGTCCAATTATTGGCAGAGGAAACCAGGAGTGTGCACTCAGCAGCCAGCATTAAAGAGAAGCATGCAAATCACCCTCAGCTTCCTTTGCTTTTAAATACGAGTTATTATTGTGAAAGCAGTAATTAAGTCTTAGAACTCCAGAGGTCATCACAGCCAGTCCTGGCTTTAAGCTGCCTGGCATCTCATTTCCTCTTATCCCTTTTCCTGTCTTTTCCGCACTCTCATGGGCTTGGATTCCTTTGGCCCAGGCTTGGTCTGTTTTGCAGCAGTTTAAAGCCAACCTTAGTTCAGTCCTCTATAGAAGTTGGATCCAAACTCCGCAGGCTTGTGCCCTTGCCCCAGCTTCAGCTGGGAGTCAGTGTAAGAATTAAAGAAAGAAGAAAGAAACATGAAAGGTGGCTTGCCAGTCAAGACAGGTTTATTTTAGAGAAAACAAGCCTGAGAGGGGTGTCTGGCCAAGTTAGGTCAGAGGCACACTCTCTAAGACTAATAGTTTTTTTTTTTTTTTTTTAAGGATTCAGGGTGGGAGAGTTTGTAAGAGGCTTGGACTACTTCTGTGTCTTTGTTGTGCTTATCTGGGAGGGGGAGGTGTGTGTCTGTTCCCAAACATCTTTCTGCAGCTTCAGGCATATCCCCTGAGTCTGCTTTTAGCTTCTCTAGCTTAGTGCACCTGAAGGGAAAGGAATGTGCTTATTAAGGCCCACTGTTTTACTGGGGCCCATTGTATGAGGGTGAAGTTTGGCGGTTACCCACGAGACTTTCCTCCTGCTTCCCTCTGTGCCTGAGCTGTCTTATCTGTGTTTTAGTGCCTGCTCCTTCTGTCTGCTTGTAGTTAGAAGAGAAGTGATTTCCTTGAAATGCATGAGGCTAGAAAGGGAGCTGGAACTTAAAGTGATGGTGTTTGTCCAAGATGACGGTGCTCCTGCTGTGTCAGTCACCAGCTGTGTGACTAATGCTTAGCTTCAGGATTATGTATTTTGATTCCAATTTTCTTTTGAGAATAAGTAGTATTGGAGGAGTGTTCCCTTGGTGTCTCCCGGACGAGAGGAAACGAGAGGATACGGACTTACCCTGAAGCATGGAGGATTTAAATTAGACTTATGAAGGCACTTACATGATTCTTGCTTGGATCCCTTTCTGGGTTCTGGTGGGTGGATAGACTGGACTTTCTATGCTATTACAATCAATGAGGATGCTAATAATCAGCCTTTGTCCACACAGATAATTACGTGCTTTTAAAATCCAGAGAAATAGAAGAGCTGCAGGCTACATTGTTCCCGCTAAGCAAACAATGTGAAGGGGCTGGAAGGGAGAGGTTTCACATCTAGATCACAGTGGTCTTCTACAATGTTAGTGCTAATCCCTGGCCCAGCCTCAGGGAAACATGATCCCTTGTGGTCTTTTATTATTCTTGGAACTCAGGGGAGAGAAACGGGCTGAAGCTTGAGAAATTTCAGAAACAATTAAGGACATACTTCTTCATAGAGAGGGTTGGTTGTCACAAGTGCCAGGGAAGAGGAGGGCTTCTTTGTTGTCAGCCAGATCTTCTAGAAAACACCCCCCCCAGCCCCTTTTGTCACCAATATACCAGTCTATCAGTGAAAAGCTAGTGTTCTGTTTGGGTTATCATGCCTTTTCTTTAACCTCCCAGTGAGTCCCAGGGGCCAGTTCAAGGCAGGAAGAAAACATCTACTAAATACCCACCAGGAACCAGGCTCAGAGCATGAAGGAGAGACTGGAGTCCTCAGACAGCACAGGCATGCATACAGAGGACCCTAGTGCAAACCCGCAGGGGGTCTGGCTATAGTGGAGCAACACCATGCCATGGGAACTTGGGACCAGGGGTCAGAGCAAGGTCCTTGGAGATGACACTTTGGTTTGGCCTGAAGAAGGTGAGGACTTGAAAGTGCTGAGATGAGAGAGGGGAGGATTCGGGCAGAGGGAATGGTGTGAGCAAAGACACAAAGCAAGGGAGGCCAGCGGATGTGAAGGGAATAGTGGGTCATCTGCTTTGGCTGAAAAATAGGGGTTGGCAAGGGCAGGGGGAAGGAGTCTGGCTGAGGCTGCACGGTGGATATGGTGGATGGGCAGGGTGGGCTTAGAATATCAAGTGAAGTGCTGGAGGTTCTTGACCTGCAGAGGGTCATGCTCAGAGGTGTGTGAGTGAACGGGACATGGGGATAGTACACAGAGAGTGTATATGTGTAAAAGTGTGTGCGTGTGCACATGAGCGTGTGTGTTCTTCTGGTAACTTCGTTATGAAACATCTTGAACACCAGTGTGTCCATTTCAGAAATACATTTCTTCATTCTTTATGGTATAGTGATCAAAAGTGTCTCTGGAATCAGACACACCTGGGCTCTGCCACTTACATTGTGAGTGAAAACTTGCACACAACCTCTCTGAGCCTCTGTTTCTTTTGCATCTAGAATTGAGGTAATAGAACTTGCCAGAGACATGGCAAGGATCAGGTGAGGTATGTGTAAAGCACTAGCATGCTGCCTACTGTATAGTAAGTGGTCTGTACATTCTAGTTACTGTTGGGTACTGTTGTTATTTCACTGCCCTGGTCACCATTCAGAGCCCCCCAGCCCCCTGCCCTGCTCTTTCAGGTCTGGGGGCTGTGGCTTCCTACACACTGATGCTCTCCTGGCTGGAGACCTCCACTCCCATGTCTCAGTTAGGTTCCTTGGGCCTGTCTGAAAGCTGATGGGAGAAGCTCTCTTGAGGAGTACCTCTGATAAAGAGGGAGCCTTTGCAAGAGACTGGAGAGCGTGGCCCTGTGCTTCTGGTGGAGTTGAGGGAGACACTGTCAAGTGGGGGTGAGAAATATTAAAGGCACATGGGAAGGAAGGGAGGTGGGTGGGCAGGCAGAGGGATCCAGATACTTGGAACCCTCAAACCAGATGCTTACACATATCCACCCATGCTGGGGTCTGTCCCACAGACCCTGACCCAATGATGGATGAATAACTTGCACTGACGCAGATATTATGCTTGTCAGTCGACTGAGAGTCCGGGTCGCTTACAGACTCCCTGGAGAGTGCTGTAAACAGTTGCGACCATGGCCTAGACTAGCCAGCGAGACTTGCATTTATTCAGTAAAGATTAATTGACAAAGGCTTGAGTCAACACCACTAGAGGGTAATTGACATTGTGAACCTCCCAGTAGAAAGCCATTAAGCACCCTTGTAGATCAAAGGTTAGTCTTAGGACCACATGAGTAAACAAGCCAGTTAGATAAACTCCCCCACATTCCTTTGTATTTACTTTTAATCTATTTAAGGTAAAGGGACTAGACTGCCTTCAGCCAGATTGATTACTGAAGTTATGCCAACTCTCAGGCCTTCCAAGAGGCTTTGTGGCTATTATAACTAAAATTTTTCCCATCAGCCTGACTGAACCCCCACATACCCACTTCGTGGCTCCTGTGGCAAGAAGAGCTGGACAAAACTTTTTTGGTTGTGTGGTTGACTCTTCCATGTTTTGGTAGAGGTAGACACAATCTCCTACTGTCCATGATAGGAGGCAGGTGTCACAGGCTGCCTTTAGGACTCAACCCTGGGGCCCTGCCTGGGGAGAACCTGGAAGGCTCTTCCACTTGAAGGAGCCAGGACTCACCACCCGGAGTGAGGATGGTCTGTCCTTTGTCCCTGGTTACAGCTCACCTGATGGCCCAAACTGAAAAACTGTGAGGTTGTGAGCTCAGCTAACCACCTGAAAGGAAGTGTCCCAACCTGGCTTCCCCCCGGCTCCACAATTACCTCACAAAGTGTGGAGTTCACAGGTGTTGGTTGACCTTGACTCCTGGGCACTGTCAGCCCTCAGCTGTGGAAGAAATGCTGCCAACGTTTCAGAATTGCCTGAGTGTAGGATTTTCCAAAGTTCCATATTGATGATGTTACCCCGGAGGGAGGAGAAATGACTGTGAAATTTCCCAGGCTCATAAAGGTGACAATATGGCCTCTCCACGTGGGGAGGCAGACAAACCCAGGTGCCCAGGTTTGTAAAAGGTGCTAGCAGTGAGGGAGAGATCAGAGTCCTTTTCTTCTTCCTCTGGCTTCTTGTCCACCAGCAGAGTCACCATGACTTGTAGATTGTCTTGCCTGGGTTCCCGAGTGGAGTCTGCAAATCCAGGTCCTGGGCAACCACTCAGAGATATGGTTATGACCCAGCTCTCAGCTGCATCTTGCCCGGTGGGCCCTGGTCTGGTTGCTGCTGCATCACGGCCAGCGCCTGCTACCGTGGCCTCACTGGGGGCTTTGGCACTGGTTCCTGTGAACACAGATTCAGCTACCACTCTGGCAGCACATGTGGGCCCAGCACTGCCTGCATCACCATTGTGTTGGCCAATGAGAGCCTCCTCATGCCCCTCGACGTGGAAATTGCATGGTGCATAAAGCAGGAGGAGAAGGAGAAGATCAAGTGCCTCAATAGCAGGTTTGCTGCCTTCCTCCACAAGGTGGGTGTCCTGGATCACACCCTTCCTGAACCCCCACCATGTGCACAGCCGGGACTGGGCACTGAGGAAAGAATCAGAGCCAGGCAAGTCTCTGCCTGCCTGAGGTCCCAGTCTGATGGGAGAGGCACACAGACAGACAGACAGACAGACAGACAGGCACAGGAACCCAAGGCCCAGAAAGACTCTGACAGTTCAGATACAGAGAGCTTGTGGAAGAAAGATGCCAAATTTCAAAACTTCAACAAATTTAGTTTAAAGATCTTAGTTGGATTTTATATGCAATTTTAGAATTGGGCAGCCCTTAGAACTGATCAGAGGAACTCTGGCTGCACTGTGGTCCCAAATACTTATGGACAGAAAACAGAAAGTGACACATGGAAAACAGAAGTGAGGTACAGAAACAGCTGGATTGTTTACAGCTGGTGTTTGTGAACATTTGGCTGCCTGTGATTGACTGAAGCTCAGTTACCGTGATTGGCTGAGACTCAGCTATTTGTTACAAAGGATAATTCTGAAGTTAGGTTTGTAAGGGATAATTGGAAGGACAGCCGAGGAAGGAATGAGGCCAATAGAACCAAGTTCAGGCAAACTGATTTATTGTCAGTCCTGCCAGGCTACCTCCTGACAAGAGCAGAGGAGGCAGTCCCACTTATAGGCTATTGCAAGGTTTTATAGGGCGTAGAACTGGGTTAGGGTGAAGGAAAAAGAAAACAGAGTGGGGGGTCCTTTGTGCCAGGTGTCTGACTGCTTCCTGTAGATGTTTTTCTTGCCAGTTCTGTTGTGTAAGGTAGACGTCTTGACCGCATCCTGGAACAGCTGGCTCTGGTCAGACAGTTACAGGTGGGTTTGGGGTGGGGGGTTTTACTTTTGGCCTTTGGGGCTTAGGTCTGTGGGAGGGAGAAACAGTCCAGTTGGGTGGACCCTAACAAGGTTTCAGTTTGTTTGCCTACTAAGTCGGATTGCGGGTCATCATGTAAAAACTCAAAGGGAGACTTCTTCAGGTCAAATCTAGTTTAACAA